TCTGACCGGACTACAGCTTTCCCAAGGTCATCCAGAAGCTGCAAGTGGAGGAGTGGGGAATCAAACCCGGTTCTGCCAGGTTAGAGTCCGGGCACTTAACCACTACACCAAATCAAAGCAATCCATTTTACCCACTTGAATCTACTGTGTCAATACCGATCGTGTCACAGTCTTATTACTGAACAAAGTCTGAATCCAGTGGCACCTTTGAGAACAACAAAGTTTAACTCGGGAGAAGTGTGCATGCCAACGAAAGCTTATATCCAGAATTAAAATTTGTTGGTCTTCAAGGTGCCAGTGGACTCAAACTTTGTTCTATTGCTTCAGACCAACACCTGAAATCAATTTTATTACAGTGAGACTTACTGGCACTGTCCACCACTGCCAACTTCCTGTACCAGCATACCCTGTATGGGCAAACCAATCCACCCACCTATTGGTACAGCAGAAGGGTTCCCCTACTGTCACTTTGGTCACGGAGGTTTTCATTACACAAACATGGCAAAGTCAGATTCCCCCCCCCCCATGTATCTAGACATCTGAATATGTTCCCTCTAAGATGTGGAGTCTTGTGAGCAAAAATTCTACCTTGTGAGCTACAGGCATTAAAGCTGCGAGCGAGCGATTTGCCTACTGCATCAATCAGTTTGCTCTGGAGCTGTCCTTGCTGAGCTGAGACAAAAAAGTGTGAGCCAGAGGCTAAAAAACTATGAGCTAGCTCACACCAACTCAGCTTAGAGGGAACACTGATTCTGAATCCAATGGTGACTCAAGGTCGATTACAACATAAGCCAAGTTGCCAACAGAATTAAAACCAGAAGCTTGAAAATAAAACATTAAAAAAAAGCAAACTATGGCATCAACACCAGCCACCAGCTCCCTGCGCGCCACAGGGAGGGGCATGGGATAGAGCAGGTAGAGAAAGAGGTACTTTTCTCCCTTTCTCACAATACAAGAACTCGTGGGCACTCCATGAAATTGCTGAGCGGTCGGGTTAGAACGGATAAAAGGAAGTACTTCTTCACCCAAAGAGTGATTAACACTTGGAATTCACTGCCACAGGAAGTGGTGGCGGCTACAAGCATGGACGGCTTCAAAAGGGAATTAGATAAGCATATGGAGCAGAGGTCCATCAGTGGCTATTAGCCACAAGGTATAGATAGGGACTCTGGGGCAAGGGATGCTCTGTCTTCTTGGTGCTTGGAGGGGGGGTCAACAGTGGGAGGGGCTTCTAGTGTCCTGGCCCCACTGGTGGACCTCCTGATGGCCCCTGGTATTTCTGGCCACTGTGTGATACAGAGTGTTGGACTGGATGGGCCTTTGGCCTGATCCAACATTGGTGTTTCTTATGTTCTTAACACCAGCCACCAGCTCCCTGCACGCCACAGGGAGGGTGCACCCCGACTTCAATGCCCACCCAAGAAGCACCTCAACAAGAGAGCCTTGAACTGCCAGCAAAGCACCTGTCTCCTCCTCTCTTCTTCTGGAAGACGCTCCCAAAGGGACGAGGAAACTGCTGTAAAAGAGTGAGGCCGGGTGGCGATCGAATGTCCTACAAAGTCCTACACTTAGGTACAAAAAATCAGAGGCACAGATATAGAATGGGAGGGACTTGGCTTGAGAGCAGCACATGTGAAAGGGATCTAGGCATTCTGGTTGATCACAACCTAAACATTTATTTATTGATTATTGCATTTCTATCCCGCCCTTCCCACGAACGGGCTCAGGGCGGCTCGCAAACAAGGGCAACACGTGCCAGTATAAAACATTAAAAACCTGCGCCTGCAGTGCAATGTGACTGCGAAGAAAGCTAATGCAATCTTAGGATGCATTAACAGAAGCATTGTGTCCAGATCACGGGAGGGGGTAGTTCCGCTCATGGTATTCTGCTATGGTCAGGCCTCACCTGGAGTACTGTGTCCACTTTGGGTCACCACATTTTAGGAAGGATGTTGACAAGCTCAAGCGTGCCCAGAGGAGGGCAAGCAGGATGGTGAGAGGGTTGGAATCCAAGTCTTACGAGGAAAGGCTGAAAGAGTTGGGTCTGTTTAGCCTGGGAAAGAGAAGGCTTAGAGGGGACATGATTGCAGTCTTCAAGTATCTGAAGGGCTGTCATGTAGAAGATGGAGCAGATCTATTCTCTCTTGCTCCGGATTGCAAGACTAGATCTAATGGGTGGAATTTACAAGGGAGTCAATACCGGCTAAATGTCAGGAGAAACATCCTGACTGTAAGAGTGGTTGAGCAGTGGAGCAAACTGCCTTGGGAGGTGGTGGATGCTCCTTCGCTGAACGTTTTCAAGTGGAGGCTGGACGACCATCTTTCGGGTATGTTGCGGGGCTGTCTTTCGGCTATGCTCCTGCAGAGTGCAGGGGGTTGGACTGGATGACCTGCAAGGTCCCTTCCGACTCTAACAGTCTATGATTCTATGAATGGATAACTCTCAAAGGCAGCTTGACTAGCAGAAGACTGGAAGGATCTAAAGCTGTTCATATGTTTACTTCAGAAGAGATGATTACCATGGCTGCAATGGTGACCACCGACATCTTTCCTGGTGCCCACCAAGTGTTTTTAGACAGTGGGTGGGGACCAGGTAGGATTTTTAACCCAGCAAGGCTTTTGAAAGGGATTGAAAAGGTATTGAAGGTATTGAAAGCAGGTATTGAAAGCAGGTATTGAAAGCAGATCAGCCAATATCATAATGCCCCTGTATAAATCAATGCTGCGACCTCATTTGGAATACTGTGTGCAGTTCTGGTCACCACACCTTAAAAAGGATATTATAGCATTTGGAAAAGTGCAGAAAAGGGCAACTTGGAACACTTTCCCTATGAGGAAAGGTTAAGGCGCTTAGGGCTCTTTAGCTTGGAGAAACAACGACTGAGGGGTGACATGATTGAGGTTTATAAGATTATGCATGGGACAGAGCAGGTAGAGAAAGAGGTACTTTTCTCCCTTTCTCACAATACAAGAACTCGTGGGCACTCCATTAAACTGCTGAGTGGTCGGGTTAGAACGGATAAAAGGAAGTACTTCTTCACCCAAAGAGTGATTAACACAGGAAGTGGCGGCTACAAGCATGGACGGCTTCAAAAGGGAATTAGATAAGCATATGGAGCAGAGGTCCATCAGTGGCTATTAGCCACAAGGTATAGATTCACTGCCACAGGAAGTGGTGGCGGCTACAAGCATGGACGGCTTCAAAAGGGAATTAGATAAGCATATGGAGCAGAGGTCCATCAGTGGCTATTAGCCACAAGGTAT